CAGAATCGGGTACTGGTGAGTGACTAAATCATCGCAAGGTAACAAGTCGGGCAGTCTATACATCAACTGCCAACTTTAAAACCTGACAAATTCAGCTTATTTTTATCTTATACAAAGGATTGGTCCACATCGCTCCCGGGCATGGCATGGAAGATTATGAAACTTGTAGAGAATTGAATTTAGATGCATTTTGTCCGGTTGATGATTTTGGAAGATTTACTTCTGAAGTTGGAGAGCTTTCTTTCGAGGGTAAAGCTGTGTTAACAGAGGGAACCACAGCTGTCATTGAATATTTAAATGCAAACAAAATATTATTGAAGGAACAAAAACACACTCATAAATATCCGTATGATTGGAGAACAAAGAAACCGATAATTTTAAGGTAGGAAATTTTATGAATTCAATAGTAATAAGTCTATTGTTTTCTTATCGTTCTTCTAAAAATAGAGCTACATCGCAATGGTTTGCCAATGTCAAAGACATACAACAAAAAGCTATAGTGGTAATTTTATTACCTATTAATATATTTTCATACCAGAATTGATCATCTAATATTTTTCCTCATGTTAATGTTTGGTATTTAGCTCATCATCGCCTCGAGAGTTTCATTAAATCTCGGAATGAATGGTGCATTTCTCGACAGCGTTCATGGGGTGTTCCTATTCCTGTCTTATATGACTCAGAAACAGACGTTGCATTGTTGACTGACATTTCGGTGCAGTATCTCATTGAAATCATTAAAAAGCACGGATCTGATGGATGGTGGACGTCTGATGAAAGGGAATTAGTTGCACCTGAATATCGCGATAATGGTAAATAAAAAAAAACATTTTAGATTTTTTGCGTGGTAATCTTATTTTCTTAGAATAATAGGTATAATATATAAACGCGGCATTGTTACTATGGATGTATGGTTTGATAGCGGTGTATCTTGGACTCTAATCGAAGAAATGTTTAAAAGGTATTTTGTGTAAATAATATTTTGACAGTTTAAGGTTGGTTTTATCCGTCATACATTAAATAGATCTGGAGGTGAACCCATCGCCGACTTATACTTGGAAGGAAGTGATCAACATCGTGGATGGTTTCAATCATCTCTGTTAACGTCAAATAATTTTTTTAAACAATTGAATTGCATCATACATGTGTAAATTAGTCTTACACGGATAAAATATAACTCTTATGTTATTTAATAAGAAAGTCGCGGTTTCTGATAAACCCCCTTACTCAACAATAATCACCCATGGATTTATCTTGGATGAGAAAGGACGAAAAATGTCAAAGTCTCTAGGGAATGTGGTGGAACCTAAAACAATCACGCAAGGTGGAAAGGTGAAATCATTTATTAGTGCATTGAATACTTGATTATATGTATATTGTTATACTTACTCTATCTTTATTTATATAGAACTTGCAAACGCATCCTCCATTTTTGAGTGAATGTTAAAGATTTGTTTGATGCTTATAATTATAATTTCAAATTAAATTCTTTTTAATTATAGATCAAGTGGTTGACAGTATGCGTAAATATCGTAATACGGTGCGCTTCATGCTTGGAAATTTGAATGACTTTAATTATAAAGATCAAGTGAAAATTGAATTGTTAAAACCGGTGATTTTGATATAATATTACTTTTATGTAATCGCTAAACTTATTGTTAAAATGAATTATCATTTATTTAGATTGATTGTTATCTGTTACATCAAGTATACATTTTCGGTGAACAAGTTAATCAAGCATATGCAGAATTTTCTATAAGTCAAAGTATGATCAAATTATATATTAAATATCCCGTATTCTGATTCTGATCCTATGTATTTCTATGATTTTATTATAGTTGTTCAAGCGCTTAATAATTTTACGAATGTCAACTTGTCTGCATTTTACTTCGAAATTGTGAAGGATCGATTGTACGCAGATCACGCTAATGGCTTGAGCCGGCGAGCTGTACAAACAGTCCTTTATCAAGTAAGAAAAATTTCAAATTCATTTATATCAATTAATAAATATGTTACACGTATTTATATTGAATTTTCAATAAGATATTAAATGTGTATGCGCTATCGCTTGCACCTATTGTGCCACATCTTGCCGAAGAAATTTATGAAAATTACAAAATAATCGGACCTATTTCACATAATAGTGTTTTTCAACTTGGCTGGTATCATTTGGTAACTTAATACATGTCTATGTGAAGCTTATAGATTCTATCGATTCTTATAAGTTTTATTTCTTTCCTACTTTAAAAGGAAGAATGGAATAATCCCTCGATTGCAAGTGAATTTGAGATTTTAAGAGATCGGCGAAATGAAGTTAATTATTTGCTAGAAATGGCTAGACAAGACAAGTAGAGTTGATATGAAAATAATATTTCGAAGGTTTTCATTCTTTCAAATTTAGATATATAACAATTAATTAATTTATTTTTTAAGAATGATTAAAAGCTCTTTAGAGGCAAACGTGTACTTACATGTCATCGACGAGAATTCGACGTTGAACAAATTACTGAGAAATCAAGGTGACTTTATATCATGCAATTTTTCAAGCCTTGTTGATAATATATTGATGATATAACGATTTCAAAATATATATAGAATCCGATCTGCCGTCATTTTTCATCACATCCTCTGCAAAATTATTAACTAATTCAGAACATCTGGCTATGGTCAATTCCACTAATTCGCAGGAAAATAGTCAATACGAAAAAAGAATAAAAATAGTTAATGGTACTGAGTGTGATGTTTTGGTAAAGAAAGCGACATTGAACAAGTGTTCTCGGTGTTGGAATTACCTAGCAATCAATGTAAATGAACTTTGTAAAAGATGTAATGATGTTTTAATGGCATAGAAGGATCAAATATATTTTTAAAAGCTCCAAAATCAAGATATCAATGCAAGCTATAACTCAATATTTAAACGATTCAAATTGATTAGTACTCGAAACATATTATATCTCTTAAAATTAAAATTTTGTAAATAAAAATAACATATTGTCACCAATTCAATATTATCAATAATTCAATATAAGAACATGTGAATAGAAGATGCAGTTACAATAAAAATTAGTTATAATGATATTTGGATTATGTATTTAGTTCGATAACTTTTTACTTCTTTTTATTTCTTTCTATTTTCTTCTTTTTCTTTCTCATATCACTTATTTTTCTATATTAGTTTAGCCTCTATTTTTTATTTTTGCTATTAGTACTTTAGTGTAAAACAAGATTATTAATTATAATGTAGTTAAATTTCATGTAATTTAGAAGAGAATCAGTAATTTTGTAATATTATTATAGATCTATTATGCTACATGTTGCGCTATAATTGTATTATACTGCGTATTACTATATCATACTGTGTCACTGTAACATGAAAACATGTATAAATACAAGTGCTAATAATTAATAAAAATCAAGTTCTTTAGTTTTAGTTTTAAGTTCTTAAGTTTTGATTTTAAGTTTTCTTTGGTTTAATGTTGAATTTGATATGTTAAATTGATTATATTTTGAAATTAGAAGTTAAGTTTTCTTTTAGTTTAGTTTTGTTGTTAGTTTAATTTTATTATCATCATTTTTTAGCTTGTTAAGAAACATTATCCTATTGTCATAAACATCATTTAGTTATAAAATTCAAAGTAAATTGCTGTAAACACAATCACTATTGTCATTTTGAAATACTTTTATACGCAAAAACTCAAAATGATAATAATCTTTTTGGTGCTCCCTCTGTAGAGGTGAATTTGAAAAAGAAAATCTGGATTCCATACAATTTGAAAGTATAGAAGTAGAATCACAATTTCAATTACTCTTAATTATACTTGAAATTAATCAAACTATACCAAGCAGAGATTTATAACAAATAAAAGTATATATAGCAATACTTTTTGAGCATTATAATTTCAACACCAATATTTCTCAAATTCTTATTCAACTTACTGTCTGGGTATCCAATTACTCTTCAAAAATCAATCAACAAATTATAAATTACATTCAAAATTTGTACCAAGATATCCATAACTTCATATAATAAAGATAACAATATAAATTAAATTTAAAAACAAGCAGAACAGAAAGAACACAAGTTAGACAAACCAAACAACAACAATAACAATAGCATCAACAACAACAGCAACAAGACAATAACATGACAGAACTCGCAATACAATAATTAGTCAATGCTCTTACTTCACTCATACAAATCATACAAGCATAACAGAATCAATAGCATGAGACATCCACTATTTCATTATCAACTTTTAACAGAAACAACTAAGGATATTTGTCTAAATTCTTTCAGAAAAATATCATCATAATTTTAATGGGTTACATACTAATTATTAATTAGAATTTTGACATAATTTCAGTTATGACGGATTTCAAAATTCATTAGAATTTTGACAGATTATTTACTATAATTTTGACAGAATTTAGACAGTCATTAAGAGATTTTGACAAGTAACCTTAGAAACAGTCACAAAGATCCAATCAATTGATTAGATGAATTTGAGAAATCAGCAAATGCAAACAACATCAGCAATATCAAATAGTTTCAGCTTATTTAAGAGATATAACAACCATTTGATTTGACTAACAAAAAACATTAAATAATAATTAGTCAATTAGTTGAAATGATAATGATAATAATTTCTTTTATCAATCATTTTGTATACAATTCAGAACAAATGTGCAAATTCTTGTTTGGCAACAGCAACTATGACTAAGAATTCAAGGAAATGAAGAAAATATAACTCAATATATTGAAGATATCTGTATCTTGTTGAGAAAAATTGATTCAGACAATGTCTATTCCATCATCTATAAAATTGAGCAATTCGTTAAAGGATTGAAAGCAGAAATAGTATTCTTCATTAACAAAGCCAGTTTAATAATCTTAAATATTACCATAAATGAAATAATTAGTATAGAAGTAATTAATGATAAATATATCAAAATTCATTAAATCTAACTTCAGTAGCAACTTCACTTTCATCACAAAATCTTGATATCAATGTGCTTACAATTACAGCAATTGATATTAATAAAGTTATCATTAATTTAGTTAAACAAGTCAAGAAGTTAATCATATAAATCACTAAAAATACCAGTTGGAATCGTGATAATTATATTAGTCACCATTATGATCAATAACCAAACTAGAAAACTTATTTCATATGTGAAAGAACAAATTATCTAGCAAAAGATTATAGATATCATAAAAACTATTGTCATGATCAGGCTTCTGGTAGGTGTTATCATAATATAGATGTTCAACCAACATTTAATGACAGTAATTTTATGGTTACTTGATCTCTTCATAATAAATATACTTCATAATTATCACACAATGTGTTTTCTTCTATCTATTAGATAGACTCTTACTATTACTAATAGATATTATGTCTACTTAGTGTGGGACAATCTTATAGTAATACAGTACTAATATTCTATAGCAACTTTGATAGTTGTCCAATAATATGCAATAAATGCAAGTATTTTAATAAGTTATTATTCAATTAATTAAATGTACAAATTTTATTAACAATAAATAAGGAACAGTTTATTGACTAGCTAGATTTTGTATTAATTAATTGATGTCTTTTTCAAAGTTTCAATTGCACTTTATTTATAATAAATATTTTTCATTAATAAATGTTATATTTATAATTAATTATATAAGTTGATAAATAATAGATACTATATAAATTGTGATAATTACAGTAATTGTTGTAAATAATAATAATTATAATAATAATAATAATTATCAAAATTTATAAAAGTTATAGAAGTTATGAAAATTATGAAAATTATGTAGATTATGAATATTATGTAAATTATATAAATTATGTAAATTTCCAGTTGTAATATTGTCTTATATTATAGATATTTCATTAAAAACTTTGCAAAAATAGCAATGTCACTTTACAAATTGTTTAAAAAAATTAATCATACAATTGAACAAAAAAATAACAAAAAGTATTTGACACATTAAAACAATATTTTATTTCATCATTCATTATCGCATGCCCAGACTTTTCAAAATTATTTACTTTATTTACAGACGTCTTTGAATTTGAATTAGGAGTTGTATTAGCTCAGTATAATCATATATACAAGTAGAAGAATGTCAACAGAAAAACAAAAGTATAGTACAATCAAATTAGAATGCTTAAATATAATTTGAACTGTAAAACTCTTCTAATCTTATCTCTTATCAACAATACTTTTTACTATTATCACTGATTATTTAGCATTAATCTGGTTAATTAACAAATCAAATCCATCTGAAAGACTTGCACAATGAATAATTATATTATAAGAATATAATTTCAATATTAAGCACAAATCTAAATGAATTCACTCAAATATTAATTCACTCTTCTGAATATAACACATACCAAAAAGTGATAATATTATTAAATAAATTTGAAAAACTATGTTAACATTTATAATTATTTAAATTCTTTTACTGTATCAGATAATTATACAAAGAACAAATGGAAATGACTACTGGCAGAATCAAAATGATACTTTATTAATTATCACAAACTATTCAAGTAGAATAAATTAAATGTTGAACATCTACTACAAGTCATAAAGTCAACAAAAGTGAAAAACATATTATTTAGCAATTATTTAGACTTAACTGCCAGATATTTTGAAATTAAAATGACATATAACAGAATAATGTGTAACTATTATTGACTCCAGATGTATCGTGATATTGAAGCTTACATTAAGACATGTGATATCTGTTAACAAAAAGAATAATTACATAAAAATAATACTTTAATACCAATTATCATAAAAGAACTATTCGAAAAAGTTAAAATTGATCTTATAGGTACCTTATCAATCATCATCAACAGAAATTAATATATTATAGTCATTATAGATTATTTAATCAAATGAGCAGAAGCATGAGTAATTGAAGATATATTAGCACAATCAATTATACTTTTTCTTTATAAAGATATTGTTATGAGATATGGATTTTCACGCAAATTATTAAGTGATCAAGATACTACTTTTGTCAATGAAATCATCAAAAAACTTTTGGAGAAATATCAAATCAAATATCAATTATTTGCACTCTACTACTCTCAAACTAATGAATTCATTGAAAGACTAAACCATATACTTTGTACTTCATTATCAAAATTCATTCAACTCTATAAGAAAAACTGAGATTATTATCATTATCAATTTTGTTTGCATATAGAATAATGAAACAAGACATAACAAAATTTGAATTTTTTTAGTTAGTTTATGATTATTAAGTCATCATACCACTTGAATTACAACTTAAAAATCTGGATAATAAAGAAATTTTAATGTAAGAAATCATCATTAAGAGAGCATGCAAAATTATTAATGAATTGGAAGTAATCTATGAAACAGCTCTTAATAATATTCAAAAAGTGCAAATTAAGCAAAAAAAGCAGTATTGTTACCATATTTTATGAGTCCTTGGGAGAGCAGGTGAGTGCTTAATAACATTATAATAAGTTACTTGACCAGGATAATTATAGTAAAGTTTATTAAAAATGACGGGTGGAAGAGTATAATATAATCAAATCTATATAATGCATCAAGCATTAAACTATGATTATAAACGAATCTAAAGGAAGGTAA